AGCTGGAACTGACTCACACCGTGCTGGCACGCCATGTCGGCGCCCATCCAACCCCACACCATTCTTGCGTTCCCCCTACAGCAAGCAATTCAGATATACATCTGTCCGACCTTGTCCCTCCTCACCTCACACACAGCTTTCGCATTCACTTGTATTGTTTATTCGCGCCACTACAATTCCCAGCCTCGCCGTTCAAGCACTTCACAAACAGCTACATCGTGCTTCTCTCGCTGCTCTCCCAAACAAGCCACCTCAGTCTCTGTTTATTTCACCCCGTTGGAATACTTTCCGTGAGACCACACTCGGCGTCCTCCCGCAATTCCTAGGAAAGACCATACCTTGAAATGGCTCAGCAGCAGGTTCCAAACATGCAGGGCATGAATGCAGGGAGTTTCAACGCAGCTCCGCCGCCCCAGTCCCTGTACGCCGCTCCACCGCCACCCCAGTACGCCGCGCCAGCGCCTGCGCCAGCGCCGAGCAATTCGGAGGGGTGCTGCGCCAACAACAAGCGCTCCGCGCTTTACACGTGGCTCCCTTTCGGCCTTCGCATCGGCATCTTTTTCTTCTGCCTTGTCGCTTTCAGGTGCGCTTGTCGCTTGGATGAACTCAGCATCATTAACCTTTCTCAATCTCAGATCGAGTTCCATTCACCTCCTCACATTTTCGTGCTTATCGCCAGGAACGCGAGAGAATATTGTGAAGTTGCTTATCCCCCTCCTGCCCATATTTCTTATTTTCTTACAATCCTCTTCCCCTCGATTGCTCGGTTTTCTTTATTCTCCGCGGCAGTCTGTTGTTCGCGACCAAGGCGACAGTGACTTCGTACAGCGCGGGCGCGTTTCTGGTGGGAATGACGATTTTGGGGTTCATATTCGCCGTAATGCTGCTCGTGTACAACTCCGTGCGCATCTGCGTCGCCGGCTCCGAGTCGTACGACTGGATCATGGACATCGTGCAGTTCTTCGAGTCCTACGTGAGTCCGTTCGAGTCGTACGTGAATCTTTTGACATCGTGAGTTTTGAATCCTTACGAACCCTTGAGACCTACGCGAATCGTTCGTATCCTTGACGTGATGTCAGCCCATCGAATCATACGAATAAATGGTGGACATCGTGCAGTTCTTCGAGTCCTACGTGAGTCCATCGAATGGTCCTTTGAGACTCACGTGAGGCAACCGCGGTGCGCGCATACTCGTCCCGCGGTCCCAGCTGGACAGCCTAAAAAAATCGAGAGGCTGGACTCAAGTCACTGGCCAATCGAATGCCTGAAACATTCTCCAAAACCGATTACTGTGTGTACAAAAGATTTTTATTATTTCTATCCAAAATCCCTCGTTATTTGACAGATCATGTCGCTTCTGCTGTTCGCCGCCGCCACGTCAGGAGCAGCTGCGTGCAACACCTGGTGGAACACCGGCGCCTTGAACAAGTACGTTCGTCGTTCCCCTTTGGCGTAAAAACAGAGAAGCAAAGAAGCACAGATGAAACAGCAGGCTACAAGAATGTCCTCCGACCATCTATACGCAATTGAACAACCTATTAACCTACATTTTTAGCGACAACCTATAACTCTTATTAAATCACGTCTCCGTTTCCTTCTCCCGCTTTCCCTTGTGCAGTATGGTGCTTGGAGATTACAGCACCAGCGCAACCAAGGCCATGCTCGCCTCGCTGGGACTGAGCACCACACTCCCTGGATCGTTGGACTACGACTCTTATATTAATCAATACATTAATGACGCTAATGCGGACCTGGGCAAGGTCCGTGGTGCATGCGCCATGGCGTATTTCGCCGCCTTCACCTACATTGCAATGTTCTGGTACTACACCACCCGCATGTACAAGCGCGGTGTGCTCAAGGCCGTTGCAGATGCAGCGCCGGCAGCAGTCAAGGACAACGTTCCTCCTTACAATGTGTGAATTGAAACCCGTGATTGACATGTGATGGATTCTTCTCCTTGTTTTCGGTTGTATAACATATGCTGCTTTAGTGTACGCCTGGGTGGGGGCTGCTCGTTGTACTTCATCATCAGGATGGGGTTGTGTCACTCTTGGAGTTCCTCTGTTAGGGATTCCTAGGCTTGCAGAGCAGAACAAATGCTCTTGGGGGTCCTCTAGGGACCTGTTGCTTCCATCTCTGTACAGCAATTTTTCAGTATGAGTTTGTACTGAATGTTATGGTACGTTGCGCTCGCTATACATGGCATAATGAAACCCTGGTACCCTCCAATCTGATTTTGAAACTCAGCAGTAGTAGGTGGTATTGAGTATGTTGATGCCTGTTAGTCTTCATTGCTCATTCTTGTGACATGGGCCATGGCTCGCCATGGTTCTGGCGTGCTAAATTGTTATTTCCGTTCATTAATTGATCCCAGTTATTGTTACCGCAGATGCTTGCCGACCTTTTGAGCGCATTCCTACGTGCTATCGAGTGCGGAGACCATGACGTGGCAGTCATGGACTGAAATGAGAACACGTGTGAACAAGTGTTCTGCTATCCACTATCCCACCACACATGTTCTCTACCCCCCTATCTCCCATCCCACCACCCGTGTTCTGCTTTTGATTAGTTGATAAACGTATAAGTCGGCCCTCAAACTTAAGGTGCGATACATTGCAACCTTTGACATTCATTCTAAGTAGAGATACGGTACGTTTGTTCGTTCGAAGGATCCTAATTATCACATGTTTTTAAGGTAAGAATGCGGTTTATTTCACCCCGTTGGAATACTTTCCGTGAGACCACACTCGGCGTCCTCCCGCAATTCCTAGGAAAGACCATACCTTCATCGCGGAAATGCTAAGTCAGGAAAGTCACGGAAATGTGACTTATAAGGGACTTCTACGTAACCTTTTCCGGTGACGGAAAAGTCATGGACAGAAGTCCCAGTTCGCGACGTTACCTATAGAGTCACTAACACTTCACCATTCCGTTCCGCATTTGTTTCGTAAACAACACATTTTCGTCACACGCAACGTTACATCTGAGTGACCATCGCGTCTATGAACAGTGACCCGGCGCACCACAACCATTACGTCACCATAACATCACCGGACAATGCCACTGCCACGTAGGCATCCACGTGGTGTACAGTTACAACACCCACGTTACATCCAACTCCAGACGCAACTGAACGTACTTGCGTTTCTGAGCTGGGCTACCAACCACTGACAAGCACGTGTCGTCCCTGCCACCCTAAACGAACCGTCACGCACCATAATCCAGGCTTACAAGCACCGCCAACAACGTTTAAGGGCCCCCGCAGGCCTCGTTTTTCGTCGCGCTTAAAGGGCCCCGCTGGCCCCTCGTTTCGTCACGCTCCAGAGGGGACTCTCCACCCCCACCCGCGGGCCCGCGTAGTCGTTCTTAGCCCGCAGCAGCGCGCGCGTTAGCCAGCGGCAGCCGCGCACGCCACTGCAGCACGCACATTGCAGCAGCAGCGCGTGCATTGCTGCAGCTGCACGACTAGGCAGCAGCGCGTGCATTGCTGCAGCAGCGCGTGCATTGCTGCAGCAGCACGGCTAGGCAGCAGCGCGTGCATTGCAGCAGAAGCACGGCTAGGCAGCAGCGCGTGCATTGCTGCAGCAGCACGGCTAGGCAGCAGCGCGTGCATTGCAGCAGAAGCACGGCTAGGCAGCAGCGCGTGCTCCTGCAGTAGCAGCACGGCTAGGCAGAAGCTAGCCGCCAGCAGCAGCTAGCCACCGGAACCTAGCCGCCAGCAGTTGGCGCCAGCTAGCACCTCCCACCCGCCCATAGCCCCTTTCAACCGCTCACAGCCCCTTCCAACCGCTCACAGCCCGTTCCAGCCGCTCTCGCGCGCACACCACCCAGGACCACCCGACCTCCGTTGGTTCGACACTCGCGTCACTCATACTCACAGTGTTTCGCACTGTCGCGGCTGGAGGCCGCTCTGCTTAGCTTTTTAGGCTAGCCTTGACGTTCGTTGTTAGCTAGGTCTCTCCTCGCTCCGCCAGCCCCTCGAACGACTCTCTGGCTCCTCGATCGGCTCGTCAGCCCTGCCTCCTCCAGCCGTTTACTAGACTGGCGTTCCTAGCTCTGTTTTCCTCCGTGCTCCAGCAGTACTCCGCCGTTCTCTCTCCAAGCGCTCCGTAGGTTTCCTCCTCGTTCTTAGCTCAGCCTCTGCCGAGCTCCAACCGTCAAAACGTAAATGCATGGACGACCCAGATTTACCCCCCTCCTAGAAAACCCGCACACGTGCCCCCCTTCACACCGTCGATTTTAGACACACCCACGGTTTTGGTGCACTCATCCCACGACAATCCACGGCGTACATCCAACCATCGTGCCAACACCGTCTCTCTGCATGGTGGACGACAACCATTGATGCAAGACGACATCAACGGCTCACACCGAAAACGATGCGCACAAATCGACGCCCATCACCCATCGCATTACCATCGTACGAGGAACTTCTGTACCATCCCACGCGTCTAATACGTCGCCTGTTCTCGCACCGCTGCTCGTGCGAGAGTCCATCCACGATGTACGATGCCCGGCGACAACAACACCCATGACGTTATCACACATCACCACCGTCTATCACACGGGCCTCGCAGTGAATCCACGCGTAGCGCGAGTGAAGCACCCATAGATCGCACCATCAATATTCACCCACTGAACACCCGGGCCGCGTTTCCACCTACCCTGGACCGCACTGTTCATGCTTCTAGTACATTTTACTGCCTTCTCCGTGCAACTTATGCGTCGGCAATTTGGTTCTGCTCTGCAACTAACGCATAACTTTCTTCATTGACCGCACATTAAACCATCACATAACCCCACCCTCCGTATGCGCTCGCCCACCAACAACATGCAACACTACACCAACACTTCAAAAGCTACTACCGCCTATCCACCCACCCCCACCCCCTAAAGCCCTCATCTTCCCCAGTACTCTGACGCAAGATTGACCCCCCACTTTCATCATGCAATATGGCCTGCTCTACGGCTAGGCCTCAGGTGAGGGACATGTTGTCCCTCTAGCCGTCGCTCTCGCTGTGTGCCTGCTTGGCGGGCTCCTGCCTCTCAACTCCATCCGCAGACAAGCGCAGCCCATGGCGGCCCCACGCCCACGACGACGTCGTGGGGTCGTACTGCAGCTGGTACTGCTCGATGGCAGCCATGACGTCCACGAGCGCGCACTCGCGGAGGCCGTCCACGATCTGCGCGTTGACACCCGCAGAGTTCGAGAGCCTGCCCTTGCGGGTGTCCCAGAAGCGGATCGCGTCGGTCACCTGCGCAGACGAGCACCACCCAAGGAATATAGGCGCATTAGCATCCACAATGTGCATCCCTCCTCACGGATAACCACAGGCACAAATGGCTCCTTCTACTCTATGGATCGGCCATACTCACCACGTGTTCGAGCCACGCCATGTGATACAGCTTCAACGTCAGCGTCCCGTTCACCATCCGGGGCCTGAACGCCGCGCGAGCGCAAGCAGCAAATGCGCCCGACGCAAATGGCATGCCGCGCCTGTCCTCGCTCCACTTGGAGATCACGAAGTGGTCTGCACAACAACCATCCGGCCATACGTGCGTCATTATGTTGCAACCGCCCAAGCAAAAACCAACCAGGTTGACAGCCTTACCCTCCCCATCGAGCGTCAGAAGAAGACGCTCCTGAACTCTCGCAGCCGACCGGGCCCTTGGTGCAGCCCACGGGCTGCTCGCGTCCCTCTCGTCGCGGAAAAGTCCCAGCTTCGGCAGAGCGATGTCTCGCACCTTGCCCGCGGCCGCCGTCTTCCAATCGCTCAGCGTACGGTTCAGGTCAGCGCGACACGCTTTGTCCGCAGCCATTGCGAGAGCAGCAAAGGTGGGAGTCAGACGCTCAATTACAGCGCATAGCCCGGCACTCTTCGCCGCACTACTGGGGTAGAACGGCATCTGCGCGTCTGGAGTGTTGATGAAGGGATGCACACACAGCTGCTCGCAGATTTCCTGCGTTCAGCAATACACACATACGTAAGCATGCCAGTTAAACACTGCGGCAATCCATCCTTAACAACCAAGCACCCCGCCTACAGATCGGGCCTTAACTGACAATGCGCCCCCACCATGCAAGACATCAACCCTATCACCCCACCTTCCACCCTTTGTTCGCGGGTAAAAACTTCAGCGCACACTGCAGGATCGGTGAGCTCGACGTCCGCACGTGGGTTGACCCTGTCGCACTCGCCTCTTGCGTTGTCACGTTTGCGCTTCTTCGCCTGGTGGTTGGCCAGCGAGGCCAGCAGTGCCGTCTCCAGCCGTGCCATTGTAGCTGCCGTGTCCATCTGCATCTTGCGCAGCGCCGTCATCTCCGCCCTGGTCACGGGCGCGGAATCTGAGGCCTCCTCCTGTGTGGCGTCTTCGTCGCCGTCGACGCGCGGATTGACCCTTGGAAGAGCTTCGTTTGGGTCGTCGTCTGACGACACTGGGCCCGGGCCCGTCGCTGCAGGTTCTTCACGCCCTTCATCGTCCTCTAGGTCTGGGTCCCTGCTCCTCTTTCCACTCCGCGCGGTGCGCGCATCCTCCTGCGACCGGGCCGTTCCAGCCTTGCGGCGATTCGACGTCGTCTCGCGCGACGAAGAGCTCGAGCCATCCCGATCATCTCTCGCGTCGCGAGGGGGCGTCGACGCTGCGAAACACCGACCCAGTACGTGTTAGTGTGTGCCATGTGCAATGCAGAAACCATGTAAACGACGGACACAAACACAAACAACACACATACAACGGTCAGAAGTCACGCTAGGTACCGGCGTCGCGGAAGTTTTTGCCCGCTTAGCAGGCGGCGCCCTCGGCACCGGTGGACGCTTGGAAGTTCCAGGAAGCACGTAGTGCTTCAGGTGAGACGGGGTCTTGGACACACGCTGACGTTTTCCGTCCCTGGACACTCTACCGCTCTCATTGCCACTGTCCATGTTGCCTGCGGCAACCAGACAGACGATGTGCACAATGGTGCACAACCTCACTTTTTGTGCACAATCTGCCCGTCGTCCGAGATTGGCCTCATTTGACGTGGAATCCACCTACTCACCTCCGAATCTACTGCCCTATCATCGTTTGCCACCATTCCGAGCTCTGGCAACCTTACCTTTATTGTGCCCACTCACGTACCAGCGTGCTCATGCCACCGTGTATTGACCCCCCCCCCCCACACCAAGTCTTTTGTACTCTAACAAACCAGTTGTAACAGTTACGGTGAGATACATTATTTGTAAACAAGTGTTTTCATATATCCTCCTTAACATATATCAACATGCAAAGTACAAACATTTGTCCCTAGATTGTCACTCCAAAACAACAACAGTTTCCATCGCACGCAACGTCTACCACAGATGCCTCTACTACTTTAACCAGTCAGCTCTCACACCACCTCCAAGCCACCCGTCCCATGATCCCTCCACTGCCCACTCACTACCCCTGGGCCTGCGTGCACGCAATCCCCCCCTCACTGTCTTCTCCCCCATTGTCATCCTCGCTCACCAGATCCTCATCTTCTTCAGCATCTCGAGTATCGCTATCAGCTGCCTCTGCTTTCGTTGGAGGCGACTCCGCACCTGGCTCCGGCTTGAAGGGTGTTCCTGGCAGTACACCAATGTAGTCCATGGCTTTACGCCACTCCCTCCACCTGTACCATTTGCGCTTCTGTACAAGATGCCTAACGTCATCCACGATAGCCCCCTCCAGTGCAGCCATCTCCGCATCTGACAATGACATCATCTTGGGGAAGTGGTCCTTCCGTCTGATCACAAACGCGCCAGCGGCGTACGCATACGCCGCGTCCTCCTCCTTCAAGTACCCCCAAGGCGAACCTGCTTCCCAGTTTCCGGGTCTGCAATGATTTTGACGCACCACTTCCGCACTCGGAGGTCGTACCACACCCCGGTGTACTCGCTCGTTCCCCCACGTTTCACCAGACCCCCTGTACCGCTTGCCTTCACCTTGGTGGCCCTGGTCCTTGGCATGCGGACGCCGGCACCATGACCCTTCACGGGCGTCCCGTCTGGTGTCTTTGGATTGGCAGTCTTAGAGACGTGTCCCCTTTGTTGCTCGTCGCCAGCGCCATCAGTGTACGGGAAGTTAACACTAATAAACCGGGGTTGAGGTAGTGGTGCGGGGGAGTTGTGTAGGAGTCTGGTCAGCAAACTCGACGCCGCCTCACGCTCCCGCATCCTGTCGCCCATGCTTGACCGCCTGAGGAGTCCCGTCCCATGCGTACCCAACTCATGGGCACACGCCGCTTCCAGCTGATCCTGGGTGAACCCAAGCGCTGAGGCGATACTCATTGGTGGCCCTGGTCCTTGGCATGCGGACGCCGGCACCATGACCCTTCACGGATTGGATTGGCAGTCTTAGAGACGTGTCCCCTTTGTTGCTCGTCGCCAGCGCCATCAGTGTACGGGAAGTTAACACTAATAAACCGGGGTTGAGGTAGTGGTGCGGGGGAGTTGTGTAGGAGTCTGGTCAGCAAACTCGACGCCGCCTCACGCTCCCGCATCCTGTCGCCCATGCTTGACCGCCTGAGGAGTCCCGTCCCATGCGTACCCAACTCATGGGCACACGCCGCTTCCAGCTGATCCTGGGTGAACCCAAGCGCTGAGGCGATACTCATTGGTGGCCCTGGTCCTTGGCATGCGGACGCCGGCACCATGACCCTTCACGGATTGGATTGGCAGTCTTAGAGACGTGTCCCCTTTGTTGCTCGTCGCCAGCGCCATCAGTGTACGGGAAGTTAACACTAATAAACCGGGGTTGAGGTAGTGGTGCGGGGGAGTTGTGTAGGAGTCTGGTCAGCAAACTCGACGCCGCCTCACGCTCCCGCATCCTGTCGCCCATGCTTGACCGCCTGAGGAGTCCCGTCCCATGCGTACCCAACTCATGGGCACACGCCGCTTCCAGCTGATCCTGGGTGAACCCAAGCGCTGAGGCGATACTCATTACGGCGGCTGCCAAGAGGACACCATCCACCTCCATGCTGTTCCTATCGGGGGACAGCTGCGCCAGGTCCGTTCTGACCTCGTCCTCCGTTGGAAACAGCATGCAACCGTCGTCGTCTACACGCGCATGCGGCTGGGGCAGCACCTCGACTTCCTCCATGTACAGCTGCACAAACAGCTCCCCCACTGCATGACTGGCCACATCCCTGCGCATGCCTCTCCTGTAGGTGCGTGATGTGACGCCGTTGCATGACACCCAGGTAAACACCGTCTTGAATCCCGTGCTGACCAGTCCGTTCAGGTACATACACACGAACACTCCACAGTCGGTGTCGTTACCCTGTTGAGGGATAACCTCCTTCTGGAAAACACACAGAAGATTGCACCAATGCATCAGTCGTCGAGCCCCGCACATCAGTGAAACGGTAAGAACGCCGGGCGGACCATACCTGAATGAGTATGCGCTTGGCGTCCTTCAAGGCCTTCATAGCGTACGGACGGTCGCCGAGCGGGCGACGAGCCTTGTGAAGTAGAAACAACATCCTGCGCCACCATAGAAACACGGATCCGATGAGTCTCCACCTCAATGGTTTCACAACGTCCATTGTCCTGCTGTGACTGGGACTCACTTCTTCACACCCTCTATGACCTCTGGCGTCCTCGTGTGCAGCCCCTCACTGTCATAGTGGATGAGGTATAGAGGATCGCCGTCCCCCTCAGATGACATCCTCCTTGTCATAGCCCGCAGGTTCACCGCAATTACCAGAGAGAAGTGCCTCCTGTACGTACACACACAGGTTTTCCACACCTCGTTAAACCATCATCATGGCGTTGAGACCTAGGTGCACATGCTGGACTGGACACGTGATATCTTCACCTCCCACCTTGCAATAGCCGGTATGGCAAGGTAGTCGAGATCGAAAACACACGGGGATCTTCCCATCGGCAACGCCCTGTTGAACTGCGTTGCGTTGACGTAGGCTTTGGTGTCCAACGGAAACCATGTCTTGCCATCCGGCAAATGCGGGCGTCGGATGTTCAGAAGTCTACACACGTACAAGGATACGGTGCACTGATGGAGGAAGATACACAGCCACAAGCGCATATATGCTCTCCTGATCCAACAAAAACGACACTCACATGTTGTGGAAATCAACGACGCTGTCCGCAAGATTCTGGCCGTCTGCCGTAGTAAGCGCATCCTGCGCGGTCACGTGGCACCCCTGACCGTGAGGTCCATATAGGGCCAACGTCTTGAAGGCCTTTTGGTTTTCGGGAACCTGCAGACTGCTAACCAAGTCGTTCGGCTCGTCTGTATCGGGAGATGGGACGAGTTGTAGGGATTTGACGCGTGCGCACTCCGAACTCTCAGACTTCAAAATATCACGCTTAGTGTCGCTGTCTGCCGGAGGTGGTGAGTCCGTGCCAGGCCTCTTGGTACGCATCCGCTCAATCAACTCTTCCACGCCCTGAGCAAGCTTTGGAGACCCGCTGTCGTGGACGGATTTCTCGTGCTTTGTTCGCTTCGACATCGTGCGGTTGGCGCCTATGTGTGCGGGACAGTTATCTGGTGCAACTACGGACGGGAGTAGCTAATGCTCCACATGGTCGTTAGTTCTCACCTTCTACTGCCTGGCCCACCGCTGCGATGGACAGAAGGATCCGCTCGAGATCGAGATGTGCGGGAGGAAGTGGATCTGATGAGGGCGTAAGTGCGGATTAGGTCTGGTTGAGACGACAGGCAAGTTTGCCACGCGTCCGTAATATATGAGAGCGCGCCAAAAGCGAAGACTCTCGATCGGACACATGCATGGGTAGCAACGGATAGAATGATGGAGACTTTTAAGGAGTACAAATCAATGCACACCCTCGTCCACGCTTGATATTGGCTACATGGTTTGCATAAACAAAAATCAAAGGGTTGCGAGACCCTTATGTACCCACATAACGGGACGGATAGTACCGCGTGTAATTGACATTTGCGCAGAATGGTGAAATAACTGGTACGAAGTTGATGTGTCCGGGTTGTTGATTGTCGTCATAGTTGCGTGCAAGCAATACAGGGTGATGCAACATGTTAATGCGGGTGTAAGGAGCACGTTTGCACATGCGTATAGGGTAGCGCATTACAATGTTGCGTTCACGGTTTATTTAAATGCGATAACTCCGTACTGTCCGGTCTTTTAGATCGCTGGGTATTGACAAGCCAATTACAAAACCATCTAGGCGCAGCCACCCCTAAAAGCTGTTGCCACTGACGGATGAAGCGAGAGGAGAACTGTTGCACCGCAGCATAGCTCCGTCTAAGCCATCGCTGTCGCTATAACCCAGGAACTGCCAGGCGCGCACCGCTCAGTCGAGCCCGCTTAGTTGGAGTGCGACGGAGCCCGTTTGATGACGTCGTCGTTGCATAGACCAGTGCGCTCGAGAAAATCCCTCGGAAGAATGCCAAGTTGCGCCGCGGTACGTATATACGTCTTAGTCACGGCGCGCACTATTCGGCGGCGACTACGAGGGTCGTGCAGACTCGGCCCAGCTGGCATAATCAACGGAGCGGTAATCTCCACCGCTACGACGTCTGCGACGGGAGCGTCCCGGCCGATGATGGCGAGAATGCGGGTGTCGCACGACGCGTATTCGGTGGCTTGCATCATGGCAGTATCGCCCTTTTTGAACTGGTTTATCAGTAGCTGCAGACGGACGAGTTGGGAAATGAGTGGCTCCACCGTGACACAAGTTGCAGGATAATCCGTCAGATGGAGAAGCGACCTCCACGCCATGGGCAACATCCCAGACCTTGCCCACGAGAGGTGGACAGCCCTGCAAGGGGTGCAGTCGCTAGCAGACCCCACCCATAGCAGTACGTTCTCAAAGACAATTATGGGCATTGCGCCCTTAGACAGCCACGCCGCGTCCCTTATGATGAAGTCGATGTAGCAGGACCGTAAAATGGTCTTGAACATCTCGACCACCCCTTTGAACCACGGAAGGTTGTACGTCGACACGACACCATCGAGATGAACTATCTTCGTTGACGTGAGCTCCTGCACACGAAATCCGCAGAGTGTGCTCTCGTCACATGCGGGGTCTGTGAAAGTTTAAAAGAAAGAAGAGGGTTGAACTAGCAAGAATGAGGATACAAATAGCAAACCCTAGAAGGGTTGTACTCGCTATAGAGCACCCCACTACAGGCTAGAGCACAATATTCTGACACACCCCCATAGCCAAAGTGGGGTGTAATCAGCAGAGCAAGCAAAGCAGTACAAGCTCAGGGTGGATCACAATGTCACCACACATTCTGAGCACAAGTTCAAGAAGCAATAGTTTAAAGTTTACAATTATCAGCAAAGCTAGTGGTAGTCACAACGAGCAAGTGAGGAGGAGGAGGGAGAGTGAGAGGAGAGGAGATAGAAGGCGGCGGCTGAAGCTGCAGACACACGGGCAACAGGAGTGGCGAGCACAGTGGCTACCGGACCAAGCAGCCGGACTACAGGAGTAACTGGCTCCGCGGCTAAGACAAGCGGCAGGAGCTACGGACCCACAGGCGACTGGCGCAGCGACAAGCTCACTGGGCTACCGGGACAGCGCCCCGGACTACAGGTTGTCAGAACATATAGCTTACTTGTTTGTGTAGGCTATAGTGGGGTATCCCATAGGGGGTACAACACATTAGGGTTTCCTATTTGTATTCACTTCACTTCATAGTCATTCATCCTCGTTCTTTGTTTCCACATGGAATCAGAGCAGGTTCCCCTCCTAGGGACTGCTTCTAGGGCCCACCGAACCGCGCCCCGAGGCGCGTTTTTTAGCGACCCGTCGTGTCGCCCCTAGCGGCCCGTTGCGCCGCCCTTCCCCTAGCGGCTCCGCCGCCCTTCCCTAGCGGCCCCCGCCGCCCTTCGATCGCGGCCCCGCCGCCCTCTGCTACGCGGCCCCACCGCCGCCCTTCGATCGCGGCCCCGCCGCCCTCGGCTACGCGGCCCCGCCGCCCTCTGCCACGCGGCCCCGCCGCCCTCTGATACGTGGCCCCGCCGCCCTTCGATTGCGGCCCCGCCGCCCTCTACTACGCGGCCCCGCCGCCCTCTGCTACGCGGCCCCGCCGCCCTTCGATCGCGGCCCCGCCGCCCTCTGCTACGCGGCCCCGCCGCCCTCTGCTACGCGGCCCCGCCGCCCTCTGCTACGCGGCCCCGCCGCCCTCTGCTACGCGGCCCCGCCGCCCTCTTCGGTCGCGGCCCCCGCCGCCCTCTGCTACGCGGCCCCGCCGCCCTCTGCTACGCGGCCCCGCCGAGCCGCCCAGCATCAGCCGAGCCGCCCAGCAGCAGCCGAGCCGCCGCCGAGCCGCCGCCGCCTGAGCCGCCGCCCGGGCCACCTGAGCCGCCGCCCGAGCCGCCGCTGAGCTGCGGCCGAGCCGCCGCCCGAGCAGCCCGAGCCGCCCGTGCCGCCCGAGCCGCCCGAGCCGCCCGAGCCGCCCGAGCCGCCCGAGCCGCCCGAGCCGCCCGAGCCGCCCGAGCCGCCTGAGGAGCCGTGCTGCTGTTCCTGAGCTGTGTTCCTCTGCTGCTGACCTACCCGACTCTCCCAGCCCGGTGAGACTTTCAGCTGCTGCCATGGCCACCCCCAATGTTCTTACTTTTGACGCTGAGGGGAGGGCCATTGACTTTGCCGTCTGGATTGAAGACCTGCAGCTGTACTTACTGTGTGATGCGATAGATGAGGTCTCTCTCTTTGACTTTGTCTCTGGCGCTGTCCCTGCCCCACCTGCTGATGCTGACTCTGCCGTTCGCTCCAAGTGGGCGACCCGCGATGCTGCTGCACGTCTTGCTGTGCGTCGCCACCTCCCTTCCTCTGAGCGTGCCCACTTTAGTCAGTGCAAGACCGCTCAGGCCTTGTACGACGCTGTAGTTGCACGCTACTCCTCCCCTTCCTCCGCTACCCTTAGCCGCCTCATGCTACCGTTTCTCTTCCCTGACCTCGCTTCCTTTCCCACTGTCGCTGACCTCGTTACCCACCTCCGTGCTAGTGACACCCGCTACCGCGCTGCCCTTCCTGCTGAGTTCCGCGCTGCGAACCCTCCTCCCATGTACATCACTCTCTACTTTCTCGTCACCCGTCTCCCTGAGTCCCTTCGTGTCGTTAGGGACCAGTTTCTCTCTGTCTGTCCCACCACTCTCACTGTCGACCTCCTTGAGGAGTCCCTGCTAGCGGCTGAGAAGAGTATTGTCGCTGTAGGGGCCTCTCGGGGTGACCCTCGCACCCCCATCTTTGAGGGGTGTGGTCCTTTCCCCCTGCTGCCCTCTGTCGCCTCTGCCGCTGCGGCCGACCTCACTGGTTTTGAGTCGGTCGGCGCGGCGTCTGCCCCCAGCGGCAGACGCCGCTCTGGCAAGGGCAAGGGGGGCAAGGGAGCGGGTGGAGCTAGAGGGGGCGGTGGAGGAGGCGGTGGGGGTGGCGGGGGGAGTGGGGGTGGCGGTGGGGGTGGTGGCGGGAGTGGAGGTACTGGTGGCGGCGGTGGAGGCGGAGGTGGCGGTGGAGGTGGTAGCGGAGGAGGCGG